GCGCAGATGCGGCCGCCCGAGCCCGCCCCAGACACGGCGTCGCCGCCAGCGCGTGGTGGGACCACAAGCTGGCAGCCGGAGCGAGGCCCCCAGCCCCTCAAGGACTTACGAGGAAACCCCGACCCCGCCGGGGGGCCGTACACCGGGCGCAAAACACCGCGCAATGCCACCGGAGAGCAAGTAGTGATCATTGCGGGACCGTGAGCAAGGCTGCGGCTGCGGGGAAACCCGGGAAAACCGCTCCCTTGCACATGGCCACAGCTCACCTGTCATTATTGAGGTTGCACGCAGGTGCTCGGCACCTCGCTACCCCCGTGTAACCGACTGTCTATGAAAAAAAAACACGCGAGCGATCAAAGCAGGGCACGGGGCGCGCCAACCCGCAGAACGCACACGGCCACGGCGACCGCGGCTCTGCGGCGCACACCACCCACCCATGCAGAAACCCCTGGCCAATTGAGAAAAGGGTCGGCTTCACACAAGGGCCCCGCCGCCCCTCTGCTAGAGGCAATGTCTTAAAACACATGCACTCCAACGCCCGCATGGCAGGGCCCAGGCCCCAAGACGGTCCGCTGAGCGAGCGCACTCTGGCCCCAAAAAGTCCAGCCGAGGAGAGAAAAGCAACACACACCCCACACTTCCAGCACGCCACCACCGCGCGCCACCAAGACGCTGAAGTCACCGACGTGCGCTAAGCGCCCCGCCGCCACCACTACCATCAGCGCCGCCGCCCCCGCCGCTCCCACCAGCCGCCGCCGCAGCTGCAGTCCACGCAACGTTGTGGCTTGGAAGAGGGTTGCGGCGTTGAGGCTTGTAAGATGGCGGTTTCTCGGGGTTTTCCGCGGCCGCAGCCCTGCCTGGTACCTGTGTGTCTGCCAGATCCTTGCTCTCAGTGACTGGCCACAAGCTCTAAGCTGTTTTCTGTAACAAACGCAAAGCAAAGCAGATCCTTGCTCTCGGTGACTGGCGACAAGCTCTAAGTCTGAATTTCTGTAACAAACGCAAAGCAAAGCCCTTGTGTGAAGGCCACCCTTTCTTCATTGGCTTGGGATTCCTGCATGGCTGGTGGTGTGCGCCCCTGCCCCGTGGCCGCCGTGGCCATGTGAGTTTTGCGGGTTGGCTCACCCTGTGCCCTGCTTTGATCGCTCGCGTGTTGTGCATAGGTCCCCGCTGTTGCACGTGTTGCCGGGCTTTCCCCTCTGCCGGCTATGAGGTCGGGAGAAGGGTTGTGGTGTTAGTGGCTTGGAAGATGGCAGCTTCTCGGGGTTCCCCGCTGCCGCAGCTCTGCCTGCCAGGCACCTTTGTGTCTACCAGAACCTTGCACTCTTTGACTCGCCACATTCCTTGCCTCTGATCCTCTGAAAAATTGCGATGCCTGAATTGAAAATCTGTGACAATGATAAACACAACGCTCATCGATGACCTCGCCCATCCGCCAATCAGCTGCCATTGGCGAGAGGTCTGCCCTGCAAGAAAAATGACTTTACAGCATGAGGCTGCACGCGTGAATTGGCGCCAATAATACAACTGCTTGGTGAGCAACTGGTTTGATCAAGACTTGCGCAGGTTGTCCAGCCGCGCCTGAAGGTCTTCGTCAATGCCTGCACCGCCTCCGCCGCCTGCGCCGCCGCTGCCGCTTGTTGGCCCCGCGCCGCTGCCGCCGCCGATGGGTCCCTCCATCGCCGCAACCGGCATCGCCGCGGCTGGGGCTGCAACAGGCATTTCTGGAGCGCTAACCATCTGCATGGCGTTGCACGAAAGAAGGAGAGGTGATATAAGTAATGGATACAAGAAGGGAGGTGCTGAGGCGGCGAAATGACACTAGGGGTTCCCCAGCCAAGGGCAAAACCCCATCATTGAGCCGACATCAACATGTTTCATTGCAGACACGAACGCTTTGCGTCCCTTCCAACTCTTTCCTCTCACGTTTGAGGCGCACATGAGCTCACCCAAATGCAGAGTGCGTGCACAAACACACGCACACACGCTTGACCGGCACACAGTCCCGCCCAGAAGAGGAGGCAAATTCCACATTCGCGTCAACAAACAGCACGCTCACACACACGGCCGCTCAATTGATAACAAAGCATAAAAATGCACCTTTACCAGAGTACGCACTGATGCGTAGAATAGCACGCACATGCATGCTCCACCACGCACATGTGTGTACGCACACCTGCACACACACACACACACACACACACACACACACACCTGGCTTCCAAGGTTGATGCCAATCTCATCCAGCACCTGGCTGACCAGCTCGTCAGTCTCATCTGCTTCGCCCTCGCCCTGCACGGTTGAGAAGGGGTTTAGGGGAGTCATGTCATTTGACAATTGCATTGCATGCTCCACAGACGGGGGGGGGGGGGGTCAAGCGTGGTGTGAGTCAGGGTGAAACACAACGATTGCACTGTACGAAGCCGGTCAGCAGCCCACGCGCTTCCAGACATACATTTAAAGCTCAATGAGGCTCAATCCGCCAATCCGCCCACCAGCGTACAGCTTTGTGGTCATGCCCTTGAAATGAACAAGTGACACTGGCGTTTTGGCACCTGCCTGCCCACGCGCCACACAGCAATACAAGAGCGCCATGTCTAAAGGTGGCTCCATACCCGTTTCCCACACCCCAAAATGAACCTCACAATATGTATGAAACATCCCAGGGGACTCACCCAGCCTCACCCCCTTACCCCTACCTCAAACCCTCACCTCCATCGCATCATCGATGGCATCGCCCATCATGTCGCTGGTCATCTCCATGCGCTCATTCTGCCGCTCAAACTCCATCAGCACCTTCTGCATGTTCGGCAGGTTGAGCCGCTTGTTCATCACACGCATCGCCTGCGGCGAAGAGGAGTCCGAGGGAGAAATCAGGGCTAGGGACAGCAGGGCCGCAAGTGGCTTGGTGAGCAGGTGGAGACGGATATATGGAGGGATGCCGCATGCCGCCATGATATGGCCCTGCTGTTGGCTGCCTTGAGAGAACTCATTGGTATGCTGGTCTCAGAAAAAACAGCTGTAAGCGCCTGCGGCCCAGCATCGTTCCATAAGAACCTGCTGCCTGCGCATCAGCCCGTTCAGCAGGCACGCGTTGCTGCCCATGCAAATGACTGTGAGAGCCTCAAGATAGACCCAGGGTGCTGGGTGCTGCGATTGCTGGGCTGGCCTCATTTCCACAGCTCAAGGCATGCGCCTGCAGCAGCTGTCTGCTGTTGCAACCGCTGGACGAAGCTGCTGTTCGTGCAGCATCCAACGCTTACTTGTACTTGCCCCTGTTGGCTAGCCCCGCACCTTCGTGGCTCCCACCATTGCATCCGCCATCGCTTGCGTGCTTTTAAGCGTCTGCAGGGACGAGCAGGGATGTGGTGGCCAGAGGGGTTGCAGCTTGGTGCGATGAACACCACTGAAGCGTTGCAGAAAAACGGCAAGCAGGCGATCATCTCATTGACTGCTGTATATGCCATGGCGGCTGCAATCAGGGGCTCACAAGCTGTCCTGCGGGGTCATGGTTGGCAGGCCCACTAGGACGCAGCACACCTGTATCCGCAGCGAGATGCCCTGCAGCTGCGACTTGAGGCCGTAAAGCTTGGTGACGGCGTGGCGATTGCGGATGAGAGACTTGGCCATGACCTTGACCGCATCCTATTACCATTCATAAACAGGAGTTGGGGGTCAAACAGCTGAGCTGTCACATGTAGCAGTGCACATCGGGCAGCAACGGGCGGGCACAATTGCTGCTTCCTGTAGCAAAAGCATGTGGTGAACACGTGCACATACGTCAGCACGTCCCTTGCCACCTGCCTGGTGTGGGGTTGCGATCAGCAAGACAAATAGTGTGCCGCGGTCACCACTGCAGCAGCAGTGCACCACAATCCCCTACTGTACCCCGCCCAGCGGCACGCACGCTTCCTTGCTTACCAGCTGGCCCTCCTTCGCCATCTTCTTGATCTCTCCTATCAGCTTCTTTTCCTGGTTCTGCAGGCCCATGCGCTCGCGATCCAGCTCACGCATGGCCTTGTCGAGCATGCGTTTGTTCTCCCGCAGTATCTCTGCAACCATGCAGGTGATGAGTTTGCATGCATCACCTGCATGTGAAAGGCACCCAGCACCCACCATGCAGTGAGCTCACTGACGCGGCCTACCTGCCGGGGTCTTTTTTTTGCCGAACATGGCTTGCAACATGGTGGCGCCTGCCGGGGACAATCAAGGCTCGCACTGTCTCCTGCCTGCTGCTGTGCTGGTCGCTGACTGGGGCCTGCAGCGCGATCCGGATGGCTCGCAGCGATTGAAAGTGGCACGTGTGAATCTAGAAAGCTGAGTGGACGCGAGAAACCTGAGAGTTTTGAATGACAGCCAGTGCTGCAACACCAGGGAGCGAGTGGCGCCACCTGGGCGCCTCAAACTGAGCTGCTGCCCTGCTGCTGCCTTCGAAGCAGCTGCTCGCCTAACAAGTAGTGTCGTAAAGATAGGCTGCTCTTGTTGAGATAAGACATGGGCAAAATTTGTGATTGACTCGCTGCCGTGCTCAGGTGACTTGTGATATGAGTCCCGGTGGAACGGGTACAGGGATACGGTACCTCACTCGCTGCTTGCCGCACACGGCACTTAGCTCCCCGTGTGAGACGGTGACGGCTGACTGTGACTCTTATGTTGTTGAGGTGTACTTCTATGCCATTGCTTGGAGTGTCTGACCTTTCAAGCCTCAGCCCCCACACCGGAACCCTCGCCCTCGGCAGGCCACCCACTGGCCTGCCGGTGCATAGCATGGTGGTGGAATGCTCGCAAATGGAGGCGTTGACGGCCAAAAATTGAAGGAAGTCGGGAGATGCACCCAAATTTATCTGAATGAATGCAGGGAAGGGGCCATGACATACCGCCATTGCGCTTTTGAAAGGCGTGTCCACGCAAGCTTGCCGGGAACCATCGATGGGAGGACGTACATGACTCTTCCTCACGCAACTTGCTGGATATCGAGAGGTCGTGCTGGAATTGCGTAATTCAGAATTGTGGTGCATTTTCCAAAGTACTTGTTCAGGCAGGTGGAGCCGGCCAGCAGCAGTAGTTCGGTTGATTGCAAGTGTGAATGAGTTGCAAAATGAAATCTGGCGAGGGGGTTGCCGCGACCTCTCACGCGCTGATCAAGTCCGCTAATCCTGTCTCAATCTGGGAGGAGAGGTTGAGTCCGATCTGACGGGGTGGTGCACCCATGCTACTGTTCCCGAGCTGAGCCAGCAGTACTGTATGGTGGGTCGGGAAAGAATCGCAGTTACTTGTGCACGTGCTCAGCTAGCGGCCCGTTGTGACACGTTCAACACATTGGTATGATCAGCTGGTACGTAGGATCACATGCGATGACTGTTTGAAATACATCAACGTGGTTACACACACGCGATCTGTACCATCCCGCAACCCCGATCACAACACCCACTATACATTCAGATAGGCACTCAACATCATAAATGGCAATAGCGGCCGTTGTGGCTGTCGTTCTGGCGGCGGCTATGGTGTGCAGTGGGCTTGGGCAGGCGCTCGCGATGCCATCAGCAGGGTGGCAGGGAGCGACGGAACAGTGCGCTTATGTGATCCAGAATGCGGTTTTTGTGTTTGATCGCCTTCTTGCTCTCCTGGCAGGTGCGACCCTCCCTTGGCATGTTGACTGGCTGGATCAAGGGCGCGCTCAACACCAGGCAACCACAAAATGCGCCGCAAGGCCCTGTCCCGCCTCCTGAGGCGTATGACAAAGTGCCCCGCGAGGTGCCTTTGCCCTACGGTCTGCAGGTGCGTGCATGATGCAATTGTCTTTCTGCAGCAACACAGACCTGACCATAATGTGTTGTGTGCTTGTTGGTATCATGCTCATGCACTTGTGAAGCTGCTGCATGTGCAATCACACGACGTCGAGTTGCACCTCACCAGTAGGAACGCTGAAGTGGCACCCGAAATGCTTCATCCTGCCTCAACGTCCTGTGGTTGCCTGTCCTGGCAGGACAAGCCCCACCCGCGCGGCTACGTCGCGCTGCGCACGGCAACGCCCCCTTCAATTGACGGCCGCCTGGCGGGCCCTGCCTGGGCAGCGGCGCCCTGGAGTGATGAGTTCCTAGACATAGTGGGCCCCACTGGACCCAAGCCCTGGGGCCCGGCACGCGTCAAGATGCTCTGGGACGACGAGGTCTGCCCCAATACGTTGCCGGGTGACAAGATTCTGATGGCTTGGACGCTTGCTGCGCACTCTGATACACAGCAACATCGGGTGCTGACGCACTCCAGACCAGCTGTACGACAGCCCGGATTATCCGCCTCCCCTCACACACACCTGCACACGCACTGCTGCTCGTCATGCCGCAATGCATGCAAGGCGCTGTACATTGGCGCGCGGCTGGAGGACGGCCAGCTGTTTGCAAACCAGACTCTCCACGACTCCATTGTGTACCACGACAACAACTTTGAGGTGCGTCCTGAGACACGACGCGCACCCTCAGGCGCACGTAGCTACGAAGGCCCACTGATAGAGTCCAGTTGCGTCGACTGCTGTTTGCGCGAATGAGGCAATTCATTCTAGACTTGCACCTGGTAATGCGCGCACCCGAACCCCCTTCCTGCATCCTGCCCAGGTGTTCTTAGACCCAGATGGGGTGAGCCGGGCAGGCAGGGTGTAAGCGAACTCTGCCGTTCATGTACCCCGCAAGACTCGCTGCCACCCCCCCGCCTCTCCCCGTGTGCCTCATGGCTGAATTTTGTTTTTCAATGCGCGGCTGCACCTTCACAACCGCCGCCACAGCTGCCACCCACTTCCCTAACTTATGTCAGCAATGCTTGCAGGACAACCATCTTTATTACGAAATTGAGATCAACGGTTTGGGGGCAGTCTGGGACCTGTTGTTGGCCAAGCCATACCGGTGGGCAGCGGGCGCTATTATGGCAGCTAGTTGCAAGCAGCACTTGGCATGGACGCTGCTTGTGTAAAGCATTGCAAGAAATCAAAGTGAATGCATGCAAAGTGGCCAACCGGCTTTGGGGCCTTGAGAGCTTGAACCGTGCACTGCACACTACTCAAGGTGCGCCTTGCACAGCTTTCTGAAAGACCCACCACCTCCACACGGCCTCCTGCACTCGTGCCGCCCCACTCACCTGCGGGCCAGAAACGGCGGCCCACCCATTGACTCTTGGGAGACCATCCCACCCGGCAAAAGGACCATGCAGCAAGGCCCCACAGGTGCGTTGCGACCCGCTGTGACATGCGCACCAGCATAGCCAGCATAGCGTAGGCCCTGTCGCGGGTCCCGCACTCTTAGCTGTCGACTGGAGGCTGCCGCACATTGCCGCGCAATACTGCGCCGCAACACATCGTACCCTTCACTAGGCTGGAGCCCCATGCGCCATGCTGTCATGGTGGATGGCAAAATCAATTCAAGAGAGGGCACGCGCTCCTGGCAGGTCGGCGGTCAGGGTTCAGCTGGGGTGTGGGCTCATCAGACGGCGGGTGATATGCACCACAACCATGGGGGTGCAAGCTTTGCCCTCTCAACAAGGCCGGCATCCTGGCTGGACGGCCATAGCAACAGTTGGTAAAAGCATGAGGTGTTTCCTACTCAGGGCGTGCTAGGCTGATGTCACACCCACGTTGGCACCCGGACTGCGTGCTGTACCACCCCAGGTGGAGATCGCTCTGCCCTGGAGCCTGCTACGGCAGACGGCGGGCGGGCGCGTGGTCCCGCCGCGCAGCGGCGACGCCTGGCGCATCAACTTCTCCAGGTTTGTCGTCCTTGTTTGTTTTGCACGATTGCCTGTAACTGCCCCCTCCCCCAAGCACGGGGGCTATGGAGCTGGCAAACAGACGTGCTTGAGTGCGAGCCGTGCCTCAACCGCTTCACACACCACCCCATGCAGCCTGCCACTCAACTGCCGGATCCCTTGACCTGCAGGGTGATGTGGACTGTGCGGTGGGACGAAGGGCTGCGGCGGTATGTCAAGGTGTGGCGCGCACTGGCCTGTGGATCCTGCAGAACCCCGGGCGCACCACACCACGGGCCCTGCCAGTAGAGGGGCGACGCAGGCGGTTGGGTAGAGCTGGTGCTGCTCCAGGCGTGCGCTCTTATGAGGTTGCAATTGGCCAGGCCTTCAGCACGTCTCCCCCTCACCTGCGGTATCCCGTGCTTTCTGACCAGGAGCCCCCAGACCAGGAACCTTTCAACTTCGTTTGGAGCCCCCAGGTGCGAGTGCCAGGGCAACAGAGGCCTCCAACTGTCAGAGGAACGACAATGAGAGCTCAGTTTGGAGAGGCTCGCTTCAAGTTCCAGAATCGCACCCTCAATTTGTGCCCTGCCTATTTTTTGTCATGACTCCGCGCAGTACCAAGTGGCCATGCACCAGCCCGAGTCTTGGGGCTACGTCCAGTTTGAAGGTCAAGACGGTGGGCGCATGAGCAGCAGCACCACTGCGGATGGGGCCAAAGCTTTCCCGGCGCTGGCGGCTCAGGCTCAATCATGTAGGGCTCTCGCATTCAACGTGTGCATCCCCACCCTTCCCGGCTCATGCCAGGGCAACTGGCATGCCTGGCCCTTCCATTCACCCATGTGCTGCAGCTGGTCGCTCATGCAATCAGATCCATCGCCCTCCCACCACCCCGACAGTGCTATCGCCGCAGCCGCCACCGCCGTTCCGCCCCGACCCCACCTGGCCGGCTCGTGCTTTCCTGATGGATCTGTACGACTCACAGCACCGCCACTGGCAGCTTCATGGTAGCTTCTCGGCCGACTTGGAGGCTCTGGGGGTGGGGCCACCCAAGGATGAGGGAGCTGTGCGGGACGTCACGGTGGAGGTTACATCGGTGGGTGGCAGCGTGGCAGTGGGGAAAAGTTTCCACAGGGGGGGAATTGTTGCAAACTGGCAGGAGGACACAAGGCTTGCAGCACCAGGCTTGGCATACAAGACTTGGCGGGCCAGGCTTGGCGAACAGGCGGGAGACGGGAGCGTCAGGGACAGCAGCTAGGTTGTGCGAACCCTGGCTTGCCTCTTCACGCTTCTTTTCCCAAAAGGTTGTGTGTTCTCTGTGCTGTCCCTCCCTCACAGGTGTCTTTTGTGGCGTCCGCATCCGTTCCCCCTTCACCGAGTGGCGGTGCGGCCGCGCGTGTCTACGTCAATGCCGAGGGGCGGCTGACCGTGGCATACCCCGGCGACCCTGAGCGCAGTTACAAGCCGGCCGAGGGCGGCAGTTATTGGTAGATTTGCTGACAACCTTGTGCTGGTGCGCCTGGCCATCGATGACACAATGAGTGACTGATGGCCCTGCGCAGGCGGTTCTTTCATCTTCGCCGCAAAGTAGTCTCCCAGTAATTGGGGTAGTCTAGTAATAAGTACATCTACACACGCGTCAGGCAATACAACCCACAAAGCGTGCACAGGAGACTGCAGCAACTCCTCAGAGAGCAGTTGCAGCCGCTTTGGCCCGCCTGAGCATGTCAAAATTGGCGTCGGACGCTCCCCTCCAGAAGCCCAGCTGCCTTAGTAATCAGGCCCGCGATGGGTGCCTGCCCCAGAGAGTCGAGGTGCAAATTTCATCAATGGGCGGGGGTGCGCTTACACAGGCCACTTTGAGCCACGCGTGCAGCAAGATGTGCAGCCTGGGCACGAGGCATCCGCTTCTGTGTCCGCAGAAGGAGATGAACTTGCAGGGCGCAGCAAGCCACAGGCGCACCAAAGGTTGCAGCAGCAACCGACTGGCCAAAACAGACCTCAAGACAAATGCAACCAGATGCATACACACAGCAGCTTTCAATAGCGGCCGCCGATTGCAGCGGCAGCACTTGGCCATGAATTGCATGTGGGCATAAATGCTGAAAGGGCAGGTGAGAGCATGCGCTGCTCGGCGCCACCACAAGCTGATGAAAACCGGAGCACAGTCAACACGAACAATACAGCGTCCCGCAAGACTCATACCGCAACAGCATCCCCTAGCGCACAAGCGCGAAAGGGAGGACTGCGGACGAGCGGTTGAAGCAGACGCGCGGACAAGAATTGGGTGTGCATGGGCGGATGCGCGTATCCAGCACCTACGTGCGCACATTGCAGGCCTGCAGTGTGTGCAAACGGAATCGCAAAGCATGCTGTGAGAAAGCAAGAGTGAGAGCTGCAAGCGAACATAGCAGCACACGTGGCATGACTAGACAGTGTTTTGAGGACAAGCAACAGGCCTTGTGGGGCTCGGCGGCTATTCAACAGCAGGAGGCGGACTGGTCAAAGGCTGGTCAAAAACATTGCGGCATAACACGATTTGCAAGCAGAGCAATTGCAACCTCTGCTCGAGGCCGCGGTAGCGCCCAAGTTCCCTCTATTGCCATGCGAGAGGGAGGACGGAAAAAAGGTCGCTGGCAGCACTCAGCACTCAGGCGACAAGTTCAGTTGGGAGGAAGACAGAGCGACCGTGATGCTATTCATGGGGTGCGCAAAACGGTGCAAAGAGCGTCCTTTGCTTATGAAAGAGGCTCTGTACTTCAAACACAACAGTGCTGATCCTCAGACCATGCGGTCCACAAAATCCGAAAGGAGGGCGAGGGCACGCATCGGCAGGCAGGCCAGCCTGCACGAACGCGCGGGGCGAGATCGGGCGCTTGACCTGTCTTGGCGCAGGACAGACGGCAGGCACGCACACGGGCCGCGATGCGGCGTCACACATCCTCGCCGTCCACGTGCACCCGCACACTGCGCCTGTGCTCTGTGCATCCACGCGTGCGCACACCGCAGCACCCGACCACATGTACCGTTGCCATCGCCGGCGCGGCCGCCAGAGCGCGCACGCCCTCGGACGTCACGCCTGGCCCCAACCGCACCAGCTGCGCGTGCGACAGCCTTTCCATCCGCCCCAGGCGTGCGAGGGTCTTGTCTGTCAGCCCGGGGCAGCAGGCGAGGCTTACGCTGGCCAGGCGCCGGCACATCGCCGTCGCGGCGAGCAGGCCGTCGTCTGTCAGACCCGGGACGCCGTGCAGCGCCAGGTGCTGCAGGCCGGGCGCCGGCGCCGCAAACAGCGCGGCAAAGCCGCCGTCGCCGAGCCGCGGCGCGCCCTCCACCTGCAGCCGCGCGAGCCCGCGGCAGCCGGCCAGCAGCGCGAGCCCCGCGTCGCTGGCGCGGGGGGCGCCGTGCATCACGAGGGCCTCGAGGCGCGCCCCGCAGCCGGCAGCGAGCCGCAGCTCGTCGTCGCCGCCGCGCTTCAGGTACAGCGACCGCAGCGCCGGGAACACGGCAGCCAGCTCGTGGCGCGGCGCCAGGTGCTGGGGGCCTTCGTCAGCCCCAGATTGCACGCAGCTGGCCACGAGCTTGGTCACCGCCGCGAGGACGACCGGCGGCCGCGACAGAATACTGAGGGGCGGGGGCGCCGCCGCCGCGCCCGCGAGGTGGGGGCCGGCGGGCGGGGGCGCGGCGCCGGCGAGGCAGACGGATGACCAGGTGTAGAGCTCGGAGAGGGCGGGCAGCGTGGCGAGGTGGCGGAGGGCGTCGTGATCTAGGCTGAAGGGCAGCGTCAGGCGG